CTCTATTAAGCTATGATTCAGAGCGGTATGGCAGTGCATCCATGCAGTACAGGTTTTAAATTATCATGGAACGACGGCCTGTATAAATGACTATCGAGGCATCTGAAAGCACAGGCACTACCGTAATGGCGTAAAGCACGGCCTCACCTAATTATCAGTTCATCATATCATTCTTCTTTAATGACAAACAAGGGACCAGTTTTCAGCTTCCGGTCATCTTGGCAAAACATATGTTTGTACGGAATGAAGGGCATAACCTGTAGGTAATATGACGTACATGAGCAGTGGCTGCTTCATCGGGTCAGTAGGCAACCATGACCCCGTGGAAAATTAGAATCGGTTAAATTTTGTACCCGTAAATAGTTTATTCAGATTATTATTTGATCGGTTTATAATCAGAATCAAAGAATGTTGACCCCTCTGATTTCGGAACAACATTCGCAACGGTATTGCATTTCGAGGTGATGATTCCTCGACGCGAAAGCTTAGATCAGGTGTATTTTCCCATCAGACGGAAGACTACTCTCATATGCAAACGTATGAAAGACACTCTTAAACGTTTATTTTACTAACAACTGAAATCTAAATGTCATAACTATTATCCTACATCGAAGCATATTAAATGGCGAATGACTCTTCAAACGTCAGGTATCGCTGGGTATTGCGCCGCTCATTTGCTCCTGGTTGTTTAAGGGCCATTTAAAAGTCGTGGTTCCAAGATATTTGAGCCCTTGCAGTGCCAGATGCATCTTGTATCATTTCATTCGTTTAGACAGCCTCTCCTACTTATGTGAACGGTGTTTCAAGAGTTGGTATTCTGTGTTACGACATAAACATCAAAACAGGTTGACACACCAATATATGCCAATAGACTCATAACTTTTCAAAGAGCAGGTTTACCATATCTCATTGCGCATTACTTCGTCCTCTTGTGCCTGATTGCCAAAGCCAAGACTAGTTTTGGAGGCCTCGGCTGTACGGAGTTTAAGCAACGCATGACTGAACTCGTTTCATATCTGTGGTAATGCGGTAGCCAATGAGAAGTAGGAACTCTCGAGACATCTGCGAAGAAGAAGAGGAGAATGAGGATGAGATAGGGCAAATGGTTTATCCGCTCAAACAGCATTGGTTGCTATCAGCAAGAATAACTTACGCGGCACTGTATAAAAAACGTATGAAAATGCACTTGGTCAGTGTCTTTAGTTCAAGTAATGCGTCATATGCTGCAGCTTTTGCTGTATTCGTACTCTTTGCATTTCGGTTTGATTTACCTGAGCTAACTCAATTAGCCTGAAGTGAAACATAAACAATCAAATGATATCGGTAGTAAGCTGACCTAAAAGTTCTTTTGAGCGGTTTCGTAATAAAGTACTTCGTTTGAAGTTTTGGCAGTTTCTAGTTTTCTCATACACTTGTTCTTTGCTATGGAAACAGCTTGTTGTATGCATGAAAAAAAAATGACATGGATGATGTGCATCATATGTACGGTGACTGGTACCCGTACGGAGGTTACTCAGCAACTCAGAACTGAGCATTCAAACAAATGACAACTACTTTTCTGCCGTCCAGCGGACATCATTGGATTCATGCTGTGAAGTTTAACAGACCCACGCTCGCACACACACCACCAATATTACTTTCGTCATTGTCCTTGCATTTTTTGCAAAGGAGAAATCAAGGTACGTGAGTCAGTAAATGATCGTTTTCACAGTTGAAATATGGTGAATTTGAATCTCGGTTGAAATAGTTTAATCGTTTTCTCTTTCGAAGATAGGTAAAAGAGTGCTATTGCATGAGAATCAAACATAGGACAGATTAATGTAGCCATCACACTACTGATACTGCCTTGAAAACTTCCTCGCTGATGGCATCGGGGGGGGG